GCGGGACTCGATCCCAGGACCCTGGGATCAAGTCCCGCATCAGGCTCTCTGCTCGGCAGGGAGCCTGCTTCCCTCTCTCTCTCTCTCTGCCTGCCTCTGTCTACTGTGATCTCTCTCTGTCAAATAAATAAATAAAATCTTTAAAAAAAAAAAAAAAAAAAAAAAGAAGGCAACTTGCTCACCAGGTAAAGGGCATCTATAGAAAACCCACAGCCAACAGGGTACTGTTGAGAGGGAGCACACCCCTGGTGCACAGTGGGGCACCCATAGTCCAGAGCCCTGCTCCAGCCCACAACCACTGGGGGCTCCGGCAGTGCAGGGAGGCCAGAGAAGGATGTGAAAGGCACATAGATTGGGTGAGAATGAGTGTAGTGTCCTTATCATAGACGGTATGCCCTTGTGCGCAGAAAATCATAAGGGATCTTTAAGAATGCTAGTATGAATCAAACAAGGTTGGCAAAGTTACAGGGTGCAAGATACATATACAAAAGTCAGTTGTAATTCTACATATGATAAGCGGTCCCAAACTGAATCAATTGGTCATAGCTGCCAGAGTTTTCTTCTCGGCTTTGTATTCTTTTTTACTGATCAGAATACCATCTTAGGGTACTGGTTGGCTCAGTTGGTGGAGCGTGCAACTCTTGATCTTGGGGTTGTGAGTTTCAGCCGCACATTGGGTGTAGAGACTACTTAAATGAAATTTTGAAAAATACCACCTTATTATTGCTTCACCGTAAACTTTGAAATCAGGGTTAGCCCTCTGACTTTGTTCTTAATTTATCAAAATGATTTTGATTGTTCTAACCTTTGTGATTTTACATAAATCTTAAGATCCTTTGTCAAATTCTGCCCCAAAAAAGCCTGCTGGGATTTTAATGGGAACTGTGTTGCATCTGCACATCAGTTTCGGAGAGAACTGGTATCTTAACAGCTTTCAGCATTTGAGTCCATCATCATGGATGTTTCTCCACTTCCTAAATCCCTAATTTATCCAGGGGATCATCTGTGGCTCTCAGTGTATACATCTTACCTTTGTTGATAAACTTTTTCCTCAGTAATTGCTTTTGATGGTGGAATTCTGTTCATTTAATTTTTAAGTTGGTCACAGTCTGCAAGGCATAGTTTTTCCCATTCTTTTTTATTTTCAACCCATTTATGTCTGAATCCAAAGCATATCTCCTGCAGACAGTATCAGATGTTGCTTTTCTTGTTGCCTGATCAATTCTTATACTGCCTGCATTTTCACTGGAGTGTTTGGTCCATTGATGGTTAATACAGTTATCAGCATATTTGGATATATGTCTGCCATTTTGCTACTTGTTTTATGTGTGACTTGGGAATTGTTATTTGTATCTCCTTAACTGCCTTTTTTTGCATTAAATATTTTTAGTGTACCATTTTGCTACAAATTGAATTATATCCCCTTAAAATTGATATGTTGACGCTCTAACCCCCCACATGACTATTTGGAGACAGAGCCTTTAGGAGGTAAATGAGGTCATAGGGTGGGACCCTGATCTGATATGGTTAGTGTCTTTATAAGAGACACAAGGATAAAAAAGGCACATGGCATTTGTGTCAACAAAACCATACAGCATCAAAAAGAGGGGACACCAGAGAACTCACTCACTCTCCATGCATATGGACCAAGAGGTCACATGAGCACACAGAGTGAAGATGGCCATCAATGGGCTAGGAAGAGGCCCTTCCTAAACTCCCAGCCAGGATCCATGACTATGAACAATAAATGTCTACTGGTTAAGCCCCAGCTTGTAGTGTTATGTTATGACAGCTGAGCCCACTAACACTTTTCTCCGTGATTGCCTGGGAATTACACTGTGCACCCTATCATAATCTACTTTAAGTGAATACTGACTCAACTCTGGTGAAATTCACTGCTCCCTTACAATTCATCCCCTGCTTCATGATAACCTATTTATGTATAACTACATATGCTATATATAACACATAATAACACATACGGCATTCATAACATTACAAACCCAATGACACAGTATTCTCCGAATTAATTCTTTTAAACAACATCACATTTCTTACAGATTATAAGGGAAAACAAAGTCACATAACACATCCTTTACTTGTACTGCATTTTTACCATTTCCAGGGTTCCTCCTTCCTTCCCATGGATTCAAGTTACTGTTGGCTCTTACTTCATTTCAGCCTGAAGCACCGTTTTGTTGTAGGACAGGTCAGTTGGCAGTGGATTCTCAGTCTTTGTCCACCTCTGAATGTCTTCATTTTGTCTGAATCTTGAAGGGTTACTTCGCTGGACATAGAGTTCCTGCCCCACCATTTCTAGCCCTGTGGAGGCTTCCCACTGCCTCACACCCCTTCATTTCTGGTGAGGAGTCAGCCATAAGTCATGCCATTTTTCTGTGTGTGAGGAGTTGCTTTTCTTCTGCAGATTTTCTCTTTGTGCAGGGAGCCCTCCAACCTTATCTATCTTATTCAAGACTGTCTTGTCTCTTGTGCAGAGGTGTTGTGCTGGGAGCCCGCTCCACACTCTCAGCTCTCGGCTATCCCCACCTCACTCCATGGGCACTCACTCCACATGTGAGTGCTGTCCACCCTCAGGGTCACATGGCACAGTCTCTCCCTGGCGCTCACCTCCAGCCCCAGCTCAACTCTGGGCTGGGCTGCAGCATCCTGCTGACTCACCAGGGCCCCATGGGAGCACACGAACATGCTGTGTGCCACGGGTGGGCTTTCTGCGCTGCTGATCCACACCTCTTTCCGGGTTCATCCTCGCTCTCGTGAGGTCTGCTAGTCTCAGCTCCTGGGAAGCCTGGACCTCTTCTTGACAAGCACATTGGAATGAGTGAGGGAGCTATGCAGGGGTGCAGGTGTCCTTTCCCTGGAGCACAGGCCCTCCTTTCACCATGGCCCGGGGCTCCTCCCCATCCCCCACCCTAACCCCACTGCCTGCTTTTGCTACATGTTTCCCCCTACAGAAATGCTCCTGTCTGTCTGACATCACAGAGGGATGAGTCTTTCCATGCTCTGGTTAATGAAATGTGCCCTCTCTAAATAGCAAGGTTTTTCATTTTTCAGTGGAAATCTTTCTAAAGTGCATTGCTTCCCTGAATGGGCATTATAGACCTTGACATGCTGGCATCCCATTGGTGGTACAGCATTGGTCAGACCACCTGTTCTTAGCTGGGCTGACGCAGGGGGACACCTTAGCACCTGAATGCCCGGTCCTGCCATGCTTCTGAGTACCCACGTGGCCTGGGACGGTTCTCTGTTCCTCAGACCCTGTCGTGTCACGTGGTTCTCCTGGGCTGTGTGTGGGGCACCCATCGTGCTGGATTCAGGCCCTCATGGCCCCTGTGAGTTGACCTCTGGGGGTGCCTGCTTCCTCATCTCTGCTGACAACCGTTCTCTCCACAAATTACCAAAAAGAGTAAATAAGACACCCTTTCAACTGACTGTGATGTTGGGCAGGTAACCCACCATCACTGTTGTGGCTCCAACCCGTGTTAGAATGTATTGGCATTTATTGCATCGGACATGTGGCTGGCAGACCAGGAGGGGCTGCCAGGCAAGAGGAAGTTTCATTCCCGGTTTCCTAGATGCGGGAGGCAGGAGCACCCCATGCAGCCCCATGTGGGATCCCTGGGTCAGGGGTGCAGGCATGGTCTTCACGGGAAGGAGTAGCAGGCATTGGGCCTGACCAGGTGTGGGATTGGTTAGTTGGGGTCATATGAGCAGTTTGTGGGGCAGGGGTAGCAGCTGCCCCATGTGTTATGCTGGCCTCGGGCGATTAGGGTGGAAAGTAAAAGGGGGGGGGTGATGCAGAGCACAGGCTCTGGGTTGTCATGTCAAAGGCAGGCTTTCAGACACATCATTACTCTGAGAGCCAGCTAGCCCCGGGAGGGGTCATCTCTCCGAGAAAAGCAAGGCCCCACCGTGTCAAGCTATCACAACATACAGAAAATAAAACACGTGAGACAGGTTTTCTCCCTGACTCTCAGTGATTCTGCAGAGCTTCTGAGGGTCACCTGCTGACTCAGGGCTGCTGGGAGCCACCAGGAAGCCATGTCCTCCCACAGTCCCCACAGCCCAGTGGCACAGAGATGACCCGAGTTGGCCACTTGGTTCTGCGCAGCCCTAGGAAGGACACTGCCTCTCTCTGACCCAGGTTCTCTGATCACGAAAGGACACATGGACACCCTAAATGCTGTCCTCTTTCCCCGCCATTCTTCTGTTAAAATTCTCCAAAATTTGGGCACAAAGAGTTCGGGTGTTAAACAAGAGTAGTCTTCACATTTGCTCTCTGCTATGACTAACACATGCCAGGGGCTGTTTACGTCTTTAAAGGAAGCTTCTTATTAGCGGGGAGGATGTCAGCAGAAATTCGGGAGTGTAAATATCTCACAGTGTGGGTGGGGACGAGCTAGTCCTGGCACTGAGATGCTCCTCAGAGCTGGAAGCTTCTAGAGGTGCTTTTCTTCCCAGTGGTTCTCAGAGTAACAGGAGCCAAGACAGAGTGTAGGGCAGAGCACAGGTTTGCACACGCTGACGGAGTGCCCTCCTGCACCAGGCCTACAGCCCAGAGCGCGGTGTCAGGTGGAGGCTTTGGGGGCTGAGTGGCCCCACCCTGGTTTCTGTGGCCTCAATGTCCCCTGGGCCGCTGTGGAGCATGAGGACAAAGCCCTGGACGCTCCCGTGCTGGGGACACCCTGCCCCTTCCGGAAGGGCATGGAGAGTAGGACGTTGGAGATGTGGTGGGGGACAACCGGGTGCTATGTGTCTGCCTTCCTGGAGCCTCATGCCTTCACCTTTTAACCCCATCCTCTACAGGCAGCATCTCCCGCCACGGCCCTCAGTTCCTCGGCCTGACGCCCGGTCACAGCAGCGTTTCACAGGCTCTCAGGTAATGTCTTGCTGCTCCACAGACGCCCAGGCAGGAGGCAGGGGACTGCCCGCTCCCCACAGATAATGCCACGAACCTTTAGCGGATTGCCTTTTCAACCCATTCATCCATGTTCTGAGTAAGATTAGACCACATCACGTTTTGCTTTTTTGAAACTAAAATGTAACTTAGGCAGTTACACTGTTACTAAAAACTCCAAAAGAGCCATTTCGTGGCTAGGAGGTATCTTATCCCAGGAATGGACTGGACTAGGGTCGGCAAATATTTCTGTAAAGGGCAGGTAGTGAGTGCTCTCAGCTGTACAGACAAGGACGTAGAGGTAGACAGACAGACACGGCTGTCCCACTAAAACTCTGACTACAGCAGGCAGAACTGGACTTGGCTGCCGTGTGCCAACCTGATGGGACCACCACTCCCTTAACTCTTCATTTTTGACCCTGAGGGTCCCCATTCTCTGCTGCGTTTTGGAACCCCCACAGGGGTCTCTATCCAGGCTCTCTGTCTCATCCGTCCAGAGCAGGTGGTCCCTGAAGGCAGGGGATCCCTGCCTCGCCCCCACCTAAGCTCTTTAATGGCGGGCACACATTTTGTCCTCTGCGATAGCCCAGCTACAGTGCCGCGCATCTTCCCCGGCCCATGTGGAGCTGCATCTGTGTGTGCCCTCCACCCCGATTCCAGAGGCCATCAGACCCCTAAGCCTCGCTGGGGGCACTGGCACAGAGGAGGGGCTGGCTGTGGGCATAAACCTGCTCCCAACGTAGATCTGTTGAATTGACTCCTAGGATCCCGTGGCTGCCTGTCCCCTGCAGGGCACCGTCCCAGCCAGCGGCACCCCCGGCCCCCGGCCGAGCGGCAAGAGGGGGCTCGCCCAGCCTCGGGGGCTCCCAGACGCTGGCCCCCAGGCCGCCCATCAGCATCTCTGCTCTGCTGCAGAGGCAGCGAGTAGGCAAGTGCGCACTGCGTTGAAAAGGAGACGTGTGTGTGGAGGGTGTCTATGTACATGTGGGAGGAATGGACCTGATGGTTGACTGTCCCTGAGAACTGCGCTTCTGCACTTTGGTGAGAGGGGCGCACGCGTGTGTGCTCCTCGGCTCTTGGCTCCCATGCTCCGCAGGGTCTGCTGGCCTTGGGGCGGCCACACTCAAAAGGGGAATGAGGTCCTGCATCGGGCCGTCAGCCTGGGCCTCTCGGGCGACCAGTGGAACGTGACGCAGTGAAACATGCGTCCATACTTGATGGAATAACGTCATACAGTTGAATAAAGTGCTTTTCTGATTGTCCAGAAATGTGACGTGTTTGAAGCTTGGCTCTTATTATTACCTTCAGAGTTCCTGAAAACATCAGTGTTGAAGCAGAGCATGATCCCTGTGCTGGCTCACTGCAGGAAGGCTTGGGGGCTAGGCAGAGCCCGACCTTCTGCACACGGGCCCCCGCGGGGAATGGTCACATGGTCCAGACGGCCTCTGTCACCTGGGTGTCCACAGCTCACAGGTGATGCTGTGTTTGGCAATGACTGGTTTCTGGAGATGAGTTTTGGGCCTGCCTCCTGCCAGGTCGGTGAGATGCTCGTTCTCGACTGAGGAGGGCAACTAGTCAAGACCGCACGGGGTGGGAAAGAGGCTTCTAGGGCTAATTATGATTCCTTATATGTCAAGAACCTAAGACTTGTCCAAGAGCTTGGTCTGTGTTCCTTCTCGAGGGTCGGGCTCACAGGGCGGGCAGGCGTAGAACAAGGCAGAGAGGAGAGGACCCCCTTCTGCACCTGGAGAGCATGAGGCATGGGCAGGTGCCTTGTCAGGTGACACCCTGGCCAGGCCACACCACACAGCGGTCTTCCGGAGGGCTTAAGGCCCCTGGTGGCTTCCACATCTGGCTGGCAGGTGCAGTCCCTACGTCGCACGGCAGGGGAGCTTCCAGAAAAGTTCCGGTGTTCTAGAACCCCCAGTCTTGGCACGTATCCTTCTCTGCGAATGTTCTGTAACGTGTGCATGGTGGTTTCCAGCGTGAGACGATGGCCAGTCACAAGGCGCCGGTCATCTCCCAGCTCCCACTCCCCGGGGTTCTGCTCTGCATGCTGCATGGCACCAGTCTGCCGGGTCCAAGCCTGGGCCACTGTTGGGAAGGCCAGGGAGGTCTGACTGCCCTGGTCCTGCCAGGAGCCTGGCTTAAAGATGGCCCAGAGCTCCCTACCGCAGGGCCGCTGGGGCCACATGTTGCCTGCCCACCTGCCAGGCCCGCACGCTCCTGGCACAGCTCCCCGCATGACCCAGAGCCAGAGCTGCACTTTGGGTTTAGCTGCCCACATCTTTGGGGCTGTCACTCTCCACAATGAGTTTCCTCGTGGCCAGGGAGGCGCCGCCGATGTGTCTGCTGGGGCCGATGCTGTGATGTCCCAGGCTGTTTACCAGCCTCTCAGCACATCTGCTGCTCCAGTGTGATCGGTGTGGGACGTCCGGGCAGCAGCACTCCAGACAGACGATAGCCCTGGCCCACAGCGCCAGGTGTGAGCTCGGAGCGCTCACCAAGCCGTCTGCTCTCGGCCAGGGATGGGCGAGGCCCAGCGGGTCCTCCGCTCTGAGACTCGGGCTGGGGCTGCTCCAAGTGGCCCTGCTAAAGAAAGTCACCAAGATGAGCAGGCTGGGCAGCTTAGACCCCAGGGCTTGCTTTGCCCCCGCGAGGTCGCCAGTGGCTACGCAGGTCCACTTGGACTTGGGGGATGTCAACCAGATTGTGCTGCAGGGCGGGGGTGGGGGGCTATCACACAGCCCCCCAGGGAGGCCATCGGGCACCAGTGGTTGTAACATGCCCAGAAAGCAGCACTTCTGAAAGTGCCAGCTGGGCTTCAGGTCCTTCTCTAGACTGAGTTCTCGTCTTTACAGGCAGGGCAAATATCCTCCGTGGTGGCCCGGGCCGCAGGCCACAGCTTCGGTGGCCCCAGCCACAGGCCCCACCTTTACAACTGATTGCATTCAAACGGCCTCGTACTCCTCACCCGCCTGGCAGGCTGCTGCCCTTCGGGCTGAGTAAGTACTTGACAGCTTATCTACTACCGTGGTTTTATTCTGTTTCTTCTCTGGTCTTAATTACATGACACTTATTCAAGCCCCAACACTGGGAGGGGTGCATGTTTCCTCAGGCCAGCTAGCAGGTGCCTGGAAATGGCCCTGCCCCGTCCCCACTCCTACCCTACTCTCCCCAACCGCCCAGCCCCCAGTCCCCACCCTGCTCTCCCCTACCACCCAGCCCCCTGCCCCTACCCTACTCTCCCCCACCACCCAGCCCACGGGCTCCCTCTGTCCTTGCCCCGGTGTAGCACCCTCCAGACTGTGTCTCATCTTTCAGACGCCCTGCCTGTCGGACCATTTGTTTTGGTTTTAGTAGAGCTGGGCTCACACCATCAGCTTCTGAAGCCTGCCACGCAAGCACGTGGGGGGTGAGCACGCCCACCCCTGTGGGAGCAGAGCCTCGGGGGAGCGCTCCGATGGGGTGCTGAGGCCACGGGGCTGGGAAAGGGCAGGCAGGAGGCCCAGCAGCGCAGGGGCCTTGGCCCAGGATGCCAGCAAGTTGGGAGTTGTGAGTCACGAGAGTCCTAAGCCCCTCACCCAAAAAAGCCTGGCAGGTAACCTGGAGGCAGAGGCAGATCAGAGGGCAGGGGCGGCGGTAGCGGGGTGAGGCCAGTGGGACTGCCTGGCGGTCTGGTGGGCTCTCAGAGGCAAGCAACTAGCTCCAGCTGTGGGCTCTGCTCTGAGCTGAAGAGATCTGCTCACTCCAGAGAAGGGAAGAGGCTGGGGCTCAGGGCCTCCGGGAGACGCGCCCCCCCCCCCCCGCCACCGTGGGCGCACCTCTAGAAGAGGCAGTTTCCCCAAACCCCTGTTGTGTTGGGACTGCTTTCGGTCGAATTCTCTTTAAAATCACAGCACAGATTTCTGTGCTTATGAAGTCAAATCTGCCCAGAAAGATACCTTTGAAGAGGACCAGCCTCTCAGGTCCCACCAATTCCCCACTTCCCGGGACCGAGCAAGTCTTTCGGTTCCATTCTTGATATAAGCCTGGCTGGATTGCAGTCCCTCTTTTCCTTAGATAAAAACATTTACTCCTGTGGGTTCTCAGGTCCTGCATCAGGGACCAGTCCCCACAAACTCGCAGACGTGGCAGACCCTCGCACCCAGGATGACTCTGCACCAGTGCCCACGCCCCCTCCCCTGCCAGGCTCAGCAGCTCAGCAGCTCAGCAGTGCCCTGACACTTCTTGGGAGGGGCCAGCAGCCTGCCTAAGCCTCTGGGCTTCCAAGGATACCTAGGTCTTTCTCCTCTGGGCGTCTGCTGTCTCGAAGACAAAGCAGAGACCATCTGTCAAAATTTTGTTTTTAGCCATAAAATTTCCACGGATGAAGGGTCGAATTGGATATTAACTTACAGTTGCTGGATGTGTTTTTCTGAAGTGAAAGAAAGGGTGTCCAACCAGCACTATTTCCCAACTCTAACCACTGGGAACCGGGGACTGGGCCCCCCTATAACCTCCCACCCGCCAGCAGCCAGACTTTTACCAGAAGAAGAAGCAGAAAGCCCCTGGGACCAACAGGAAGAGAGAGGAGGCCCCGAGCTCAGGAAGGGCTTAGCACAGAGGAAGCAGGTCTGGGTTATGCCACCTCCCGGCCCCAAGCCCTGTCCCAGACACCCCGCAGAGTGGGAGTCGGCCATGCAGGTCATCAAAGCGGACCCTCAGGAGCTCAGAGTCTTTCACACCCCCACAGTCGTGACATGGAGGGAGGTTTGGAAGGCGTTTTCTTTTCAGAGGGGAGGAAATTCCTAGAATTCTTAGGTGGTAAATCTGAGTCTGCACCAATTTTTTGTTCCACTTAAGGGAACCATGGACTGGGGACTTGCATGGTGGCAGGCGGCAGGTGTCCCTGACTCCCTATGTGCACCCCGTCTCCAGACCCGCAGATTCTGGAGGCCTTCCAGCTGGAATGTGGAGGCCCCAAGTGGGATGGCTGCCCCTGCAGACATCTGCACAGCCAGGGACGCTGTGTCCCAGGAATCACGGGTCACCCTGGGAGAGGGATGGGACTGTCCCACAAGACAGGTGCTCGGAGGCCAGGATGCCAGGCTGTTCCCCCTGGGGGTGTCCCCAGGCTCTCCAAGCCGAGCCGAGCCCTTCTCCTCAACTCTCACACATACAGCAGAGTCACACGGCGCCCTTCCTTGCCGTCACTGTGTGAGCCGCACATGCAAACACCATATGCTCTCTCTCACTCCACGTTCTTGAGCCACAACCATGGGCGTGCTTCTCAAGGGGAATGATTCTCCTCCAGCCTCATTGGATGCTTCCTTGTGGCCAAAGCAGGTGTTCTAGATGGTGACCTGCATCCGTGTCCTCCCAGGGCGCTGCAGGCCACACACACGAGCCACGAGCCCAGCAGCCCTCACTGACAACGTGTGTTTACAAACGTGTGTGCGGGTGTGGGAGGATGGCTACATGAGTGTCCCCTTTTCTCAGTGGGTTTCCAGGTATGTAGCTGAGACGCAGGAAGGTTCTCTCCAGGGGACATCCTGGCCCCTTGTGCAGACCCTGGCTTTAGGAGAGCCAGAGTGAGCAACTCCTGTCCAGACAACACCCCTGCAAGGGTTGCAGGAGCCCGTTGTCCTCCTGGGCCCCTGGGAGCCCCAGTTGAGGATACTCTGATCTCCATGGCACAGGTCTTTTGCTTCTGTTTTTGTTTTTCTTTTTAAGATTTATTTATTTAAGAGAGCAAGCGAGCGTGTGCAAGTGGTGGGGGGGGTGGCAGAGGGAGAGACAGAATCTCAAGCAGATTCCCCACAGAGCACAGAGCCTAACATGGGGCTTGATCTCAGATCCCAAGATCATGACCTGAGGTAAAACCAAGGGTCAGATGTTTCACTGACTGAGCCCCCCAGGTGCCCTAAGACTTTTCCAACGTGTCCCAGAGTGATCAGAAATCTGGGTGAAGCTGCCTCCGTCTTTCACAGAGAACCTTGGGGAGAGGGCTGCAGGGCCCACTTGCCTCTGGGGGCCCCTGCTCTGCCCACCGGGCTCGTGGACACGTGGCTGGCCGCACTCACAGCCTGGGAGTTGGATGGGCATGGAGGCAGGGTCTGGATGCACCCTGCTGCCTTCCAGAGCCCAGGAGTGGGACTGCAGGTCCAGCACGCTCAGGGTGGTGCAGAGTGGGTGGGGGGTGTTGGACCGGACTGGCAGATCCCAGGTGCCTAGGTGGTCTCCTGCAGGGGTGGGAGCAGGGCTACAGGGGTGTTCCTCATTTTCCCAACGAGGAAATAACTGTATGCAGTCAACACCAACACTACTTGGAAAACTGCTTTCGAAGAGCCTGCCCGGCCTGAAGAATACAGAGCATGCTCAGGGATGCTGTCCCCTGCCTTGCAGACATGCTGGGCGGCCACAGCAGAGCTCACCGTATGCAGCTCAGGGTAAATCAGGCAGCTGTGGCCACATCCTGAGGGTGCTGGCCTCAGGTTCCCCTCCTCAGGACTCCTGGGGCTGCAGGGGGAGCTCTCCAGGTTCAGCTCTACACCCTACAGACGTGCGCTCCTCCCCGGCG